AGGTCATGAAAAGGGTGGGGGTTGAACCTCCCATCTAATTTCGGAAAAACTACCGCATCAGCAATACTTGACACAGTGATACAGGATGACACGAGGAAGATCTCCCATCTAATTTCGGAAAAACTACCACATCAGCAATACTTGACACAGTGATACAGGATGACACGAGGAAGATCTCCCATCTAATTTCGTATTGATAGAATTCTTGAAAGCATTATGTCTTTTTTATTTCAGTATTGGTACCTTTTTTATTTCGCCCGTCAAACGGACGGGTACTCCGGCTAGTAATTGATATGCAGAAAAATGGATTTTCGAGCAATATCTTTTTATTGCCCAAACTAAATAAATGGTAAAGAATGCCAACCAATGGAATTCTAATGTGATTTTAGATGGGAAATGTAGAATATGGGTATGTGTTTCCACCCTCTTAATCTTGCAATGGGTGGGAGACGTTAACACTGTCCGGCCTAACTAGTCTGATAATCAAATTTTTCCTTATAATTCTAGTCTGCTGTTCAGTTGGTTTTACTATATATTATGAGCACAACCTGATAAATTGGACAACTGACATTGTGTATTTATACTTAATCTTAATTATATTTAAATTATTTAACATAAATTATTCAATTATTTTGTACTTTTATGAATTCAGCAGGAATTTTACTTTAATCTTCACCATCAGTCCGTGTAAAGACTAGAAATTTGAGTGATATATATATAAATACCATACCGTTTTGAGATAAGTTCCAAGTCCCAAAACCACGATAAAAATCGTTTATTTTTTGTGTTTGCTGGTTATTTTTTGTAAGTAAGTGTGAATATCAAATACTCGTGTTTTATATCGTTGCAATTTCAATACAATTATTTACTTTAAATAAAACAGTCTACTGGCATTAGCACGAACGACGCAGGTAATAGCTTAAGCTACCTAAAACTAATAAAACGATGCACGTTCAACAGACAGCACAAAATATGTTTACAAGTGATTACAGATTACATGCAACACTACGAAATAAATGAAACCCTTATTAAAAAAAGAACACAGCATCAGAGAAATCCTGTCATGTGAACCTTATGCTCGAAAGAGCGAGATTAGTCTTGGTCAAAGTACAGGCAAACACTTCCTGAAGAATGTCGACAAAATTAATTCACACTATCACAGTTTGACCTATTTCGTGAGACGGAACTTTTTCTTCCCTGTTGTCTAACACACGAGTTGCCAAACTTTCTCAGCACAAGTACTAGTCCACTCCCCTACCAGAACATTCCACATCCTGACTAATTCTCCCATCCAATGAATCTATAGATACTGAGTACCTTAACAGTACTGTTGTTTTTTTTTGTATTTGCTACGCTCCCTCGTGACACTTTCGCAGCTTTCGGAACTTTGATATGAAAACAATGATCAATTAGTAGTTAAAAAACAACATTTCACTATGGATGTCATTGGTGAAATAAAATGTGTTAAGCAGGATAGTTTCTTGGATATTTCTAAGTTAATTGTATAAACATATGCCTTTTTAAATCGACATCAATACCTTGAAGTCTCTAGCATAGACCTATATCTTGAGCGTGTTAAAGAAGTGAACCACTATCAAAAATATTCGATATCATTATAAACGAACGGGCGATACTTAGACAGGCTAACAGATGGAAAACAGACACAGTGTC